GCCTTACTGAACCCCAGGTAGACGACATCCTCAGCATTCTCTTGGTCCACTATATTAGTCACATTGTCAGAGAAAGAAATAACAATGACATCTGAGATGACATCTGCCAGTTCCTTTAACTCTGGGGCGGACTCCACCTGGTCCTGGGGACTCGACTCAGGGCAGCCAGGGGCTCTCTCGTCGCTTCCTCAACAATGTTGACTTTAATTTCTCTTTTGCAAACGGCTCCTCCAGTTCATGCTGATGTCATCTTTTCAGATTCAAGGTATTTTCAGATTATCTGCTTTTGCTAAACTGCTCTCTGCTCTCCATTTTTTAAACTTACCCTTTTTGTTTCTCAATTCCTTGGCGAATTCTTTATAGAATAATGCCAGTTTCACCAGCTCTTTCCCATTTTTTCTCTTTGGTACTGTTTGGATCTTAATTATTTTATTTTTTTGGAATTTCCAACCCTGCTGAACTATTTATAATTTCAAAATTTCCATTCATGAAATCCTTCCTACTGATTTTCATTTACTTACTGAAAATGTCTCTCTTGAAAACTAGAATACTAACCTGACTACCTTCAATTCTCACTGCTTGCAATATGTTGAATTCTAAAATTACATAAAATAGCATAGAAAAACAGAGTTGGAAGGGACCTTAGAGGTCTTCTAGTCCAGTCCCCTGCTCAGGGAGGAAACTCTATACCAGGGGTGTCAAACTTGCAATGTCATGTGATGTGTCGCAACACATCGTGACTTTTTTTCCCATTGCTGGCAATGGGGTGGGCACGGTTTTGGCATGACGCATTCAGCCCGCAGGCCAGCAGTTTGACACCCCTACCCTAGACCATTTCAGACAAATGGTTGTCCAATCTCTTCTTGCAAACCTCCAGTGATGGAGCATCCACAACTTTTGGAGGCAAGTTGTTCCACTGATTAATTGTTCTCCCTGTCAGGAAATTTCTCGTTAGTTCTAGGTTGCTTCTCTCCTTGATAAGTTTCCATCTGTTACTGTCCTGCCCTCCGGTGCTTTGGAGAATAGCTTGACTCCCTCTTCTCTGTGACAGCCCATCAAATATTGGAAGACTGCTCTCAGGTCATCCCAGGCCCTCCTCTTTGTAAGACTAAACATGTGCCTGGGAAAACAGCTGCAGCAATCTGGTGGCATCCCGAGATCCATTTTAAGGTCCTAATTTCATGGTAGCAAAGGTGGTGGAGGAGCCATTTTTCTCACCACCCTTTTAACATCTCGGCAGGCAGGTCAGAGGTTCTCTGGATACAGCAGTAAATCTCTCTAGGAACACAAAACACACATTGTGTGACTCAAGGGGGAGGTGCTGGTAAGTTGCTTTTATTGCAGATGTAAATCAGCTGATGATAAAGATCAGCTACTGCAGAATATACTAATCTCATCCTATTTATGTGTCAGCTCCAGGGCTTCCATCCATGCATACTCCCTGTTCTTGCAGCCTACATTTTGGATGTGTCTCCAGTTTTGATTGTGGTCTTGATGGCTTCAGCCTTCACCATTAGTGGTGGACCTTTTTCGGATTGTCAGGAACTGCCTTTATCTAGAGGCAGTTTGGGTGAACCCTTTGTTCATTCTAACTTGAATTCTAGACTGAGCCGCCTTGGGTCATGTCTCAGCCTTTTGAAATGGGCTTGAGTTTGATTTTTATAGTCAGTGGCATCGGATAATCTTTGGAGGGGCAAGATTTGGGCAGTGGAACCTTCTGCTCCCAAAGTTCTCTACATGGTCAGAGTGAGTCAGGATCCCAGGAGTTTCCGTGGCTTTTCCTAGAATGGGTTGCTCCACACGCTTCAAAGAGTGCTGAGGTTGACCTTAAAGAACTGTATTATGCAGATTTGGAATAGTTAGCGGTAAAAGGAAATCAGGCCACCAAAGAACACGGTGACTGGACACCATCAAAGCTGACGCCATACGGAGCCTAGAGCAAAGAAGCAGTGCAAGATTTGGCCCACAGAATCACCAAGAGTCGGATGCAACTGAATGGATCATCATCATCATCATCATCATCATCAGCAGCAGCAGCAGCAGCAGCAGCAGCGTTATGCAGATTGCACTGAGCCAGTCCCCAGTGTTCTGTTCTTAAGTGGAAGCACATCCAATCCACTTTCCCTCCAAGATGACACAGTCATCTGCCTAAATTTCAATCTGCTTTAACGCTTAGTTCTGAGATAGAAATGGCACTATTTGCCCGGGTAATTGTTTTGGTTGGCAACTGAACTGAAAGGTTGTATTCTGCTTGTTTCTGCCAGGCCTCTGAGCATCTTTTTAGCACATACTTATCACGGCGCTGTTCTGGACTGTCTGGCCGTGATGTGCACAGATGGCCCTGTTTTGTGGCCATTCCAACAGGAAGACTTGACATCTTAGTTGTTGTCCTCTGGCATCTTAGAGTTATTTCATCTCCCACATTGTTTAATGGTTACGAAAAACCACTGGAGAGATCAATCTAGCTCAGAAAGTTGCTGCTCAGCCTTCAAAGGGACCAGATATAAGAAGTTGCAAATCCCTGTTAGCACCATTACTGGTAAAGTAAACTTTCAAGTGCTGGTTAGAAAACAGTTTGGGGGATCCATGAGCAGAAGGGCCGCCATTTCCTGCAAGTGCTAGATTTTCTGGAGAAACCTTCTCTGTGTTGTGATGTGTAATTGATGAGACTCGGAGAAGCCTCTCGTTGCTTGGAATGTCTTCTAGGGTAACCTCCCTGGTCCTGGCATCGTGTCCTTCAGGTAGGAGCCTCCCCACACAAGTTGTTTGGTCCTTACAATTGACAACGGGCCAACACTTTTATTTATTGCATGTTGATTATAAGCATTACCTTCTTCAATAGGCAGCTGGACTTTCTTATTTTTCTTTGAAGACATTTTTCTTCTCATTGAAGAAGCTTCTTCAGCTCTGACTGGATGGTGGGGAATGGAAGGATTTATATTCCCTGGAACAGCTCTCTCTCAATAGAGGGGGCAGGATACGACATCATCTATCTCCTGTCTACAACACAGTCCTTTCAGCCAGCTGTCGGCAAACTTGAACAATGGGCCCTATCCAACAAAATGAGAAAAGTAAAGTTTTACATTTAGACAGGAAAAATCAAAGGTATAAGTACAGATTGGGCAAGACCTGGCTCAAAAAGAGCAACTGTGAGAGGGACCTTGGAGTCCTAGTGGATGATCACTTGACTATAAGCCAGCAGTGTGCAGCAGCAGCAGCAGCCAAAAAAGCTAATACAATCCTGAGTTGTATAAACAGAGGTGCAGAATCAAGTTCACACAAAGTATTAATATCGTTTTATAAAAACCTAGTAAGACCACACCTGGAATACTGCAATTAATTTTGGTCACCAGTCACCATATCACAAAAAAGATGTTGAGAGTTTGGAAAAAGTTCAGAGAAGAGCAACTAAGATGATCCAAGGCCTGGAGATTAAAACATGAAGAACGGCTGCAGGACTTGAGTTTGGCTAGTCTAAAGAAAAGAAGAAATAGGAGAGACATGATAGCAGTATTCTAGTATTTCAGGGGCTGCCACAAATAAGGGGGTCATGTTATTCTCCAAAGCACCAGAGGGCAGGACAAGAAACAATGGTTGAAAATGGACCAAAGAGAGAAGCAATCTGGAATAAGGAGAAATTTCCTGACAGAGAGGACAATTAACTAGAGGAACAGTTTGCCTACAGAAATCATGGACACTCCATCATTGGAGATTTTTAAGAAGAGGCTAGACAGTCATTTGTCTGAGATGATATAGGTTCTCCTGCTTGAGCAGGGGGCTGGAGTAGAAGACCTCCAAGGTCCCTTCCATATTCTATTCTATTCTATTCTATTCTATTCTATTCTATTCTATTCTATTCTATTCTATTCTATTCTATTCTAATTTTAATGTTTACCTGTTAATTACTGTCCCAGGATGTTCTTCTACAGATAGGTCTAAATGTAGTGCGGAGAATGGCCTGCAGTTTCACTTTCGTGCATCTTCTGGCAGCTCCATCCGCAGCAGGGAGGCCAGCGAGGATCACTTCCCTGGGGGCTGAGCTGCCTGTCTCTTGGGAGGCTCCGAGGCCTGGTTGTGGGAAGGCAGCACAGCTGCTCCCGTGTGCAGGAGGGGCAAACATTGCAGCTGCTGGAGGAAGCAGCCTCGACAAAGGCCTCCTTAGGCCACCTGCTGCTAGGGGCCCCTCTGGCCACCCACAGCCTCTTCCCGCCAGCAGAGAGGCAGGAGGAGAGCCGGCTGGGACACCGCTCAGCTCAGACCGAAAATGCCACAGGGGAAAAGATTTGGGTCAACTTCCTCCTGGCGGCACAGCACACTGGGGGACACCCAGCTGCCCGTCCCCAGGATGGCCCTCCGCTAATGCCCCCCTGGGAAGATGTGCCTCAAGACCCCCAGTGGGGATGCAGGGAAAGCATCCTTGAGGGGGCTGGGGGGGCGGTACAACTAACCCATCAGCCCCTGGGATCCAGCTCCCCCCCACTCAAGGTGGCTCTCTCGGGCCCCTGCAGGGAAGGGAACTGCTGAAGGGAGGGCAAGCGGGGCTCCTGCTGCCTTCCAGCTCTGGCGGGAGGACGCCGCCTCAGCCCAGGAAGCTCCGGGGAGGTCGCAGGGAACGAGCCGAAGGGCCCTTCCACTTGAGGGCTTCTAGGTCTTGGGGGGGGGCGAGGGGGCAACTTTTACCAATGACACCTGCACACACAAGAACCGCAAAGGCGAAACCGGAGGGGCCTCCCTGCTTTCCCTGTCCGTCGTAGAGGAGGCGAAGGCCCGACTGACTCCGCCGGCCGTCCCGCTGCTCCCGCACTTCTGGCAGCTCCCGAGGCGCAGCGCTTAGCGAGCGTCAGGCAGCGCCTGAGGGCCACCGCCGCCCCGCCAGAGCCGCCGCCCCTCCTGCATCCCCCCCGGGAGGCCTTGAACTTCTCCCATTGGGCGCAGGGCGGGGCGGCTCCGCCTCCCCGCCCGCCGCCTCTTTTTTACAACTCATGTGCCGCTTCCCTCCTCACTGTCGGTCGAGGCGCGCTCGGGGCATCCCGGCGCGGCCGCCGCCTGACTTGTTTCCCGCCGCCCGCGCCGCCGGCCTTCCCGCGTAGCCCCGGCCTCCCGATCGGCCTCCCGCCCTGCCCCGCATGGAGCTGGGCTGGGCGTGCAGCCTCTCGGTGTGGCTGCTTTTCCTGGGCAGCCTGGCGGTGCGGCTCCTGCGCTCGGACCTGTTGCTGAGCCGGCTGCTGCTGCTGCGGGTGGGGCTGCTGGCCGTCCTGCAGGCGCTGGGCCAGGCCGTCCTGCCGCTGCCCCTCAGCGCCGCCCTCACGGGGGCTGCCTGCTTGCTCGTCTCGGCCAGCACCGCCCGGCGGAAGCGGATCCCCACGGGGGGGAAAGCGGTGGTGGTGACAGGTGAGTCCGGCGGGCGCGAGCCGTCCTCTCGGGCCAAGAGCCGACGGGCAGCGCCGCCTTCGCGGGCGCAGAGCCGCCCGGCGCTCTCTGGGGCCGGAGTCGCTCCCGCCGAGCCCCTGGCCCGGAGCCGCGCCGGGGAGAGCTCGGCTGCGCGGGGCGGCTTCGTCTGATCCCAAGCGGCGGCCTGGCCCGGGCGGGGTCGTGGAGAGCGAAGGGCCCCGGGCCCTCTCCATCCTCCCCGCTCGCGGCTGGCCGCATCAGGACCGAGCCTGGTCTCCGCGCTCTCCGGAACGAGATGCTGGCGCCGGCAAGGCGCGCTCGTTGCCCAGAAACGCGCACTTAGGTCCCGCGGTCCAGAACGGGCCCCTCCGCCGCGGGGGACTGAGCGGGGCTGCGAGAGTAGCCGGGGCGGCAGGCAAAACGCTCCCGGATTCAGCGCCCCGGCGGGGGCTGGCCCGGACGCGGCCTCCGCCCCGGCTCTCTCCCGGCCGTCCCGAGCCTCCCCCTGCAGAACGGCGGCGACGAGGTCAGCGTCCCCCCGACGGCCCGGCCGCACAGAGGGCCTGGCGGGCGGGGGCCGAGGGGGGATCGCCCCATCAAGTCGGTTCAGGCGCCGGCGGCAGCCGAGAGTTGCCGGTGGAAGCCGGATCCTACGCGGCTCCTTCGGGGAAAGAGGCCAGGCGGGAAGAACGCGGGGCCGAGAGCGGGAGCGGCGCGCAGTCCTGATGCCGGTTCCATAAGGCCCCGCAAGCCGGCCGGAAGGTCGGAGAGCGCGCAGGGCCCGGGCAGCCACGTTGGCAGATGCCCGCTGGAGGAACCCCCTGGCAGGCTGAGCCCCACGGAGTTCAAAGGGGGATCCGGCTATTCAATTAAATGCGAGAAAGGCTGCCTGGAGAGCCCTCTGGGTGGAAACCCCCCCCCCAGTGGAGGGGCTGGCTTGCCTCTGCCTGTGAGGACCCACAGCCTTGGACGGAAGGGACCAGGCGGCGCCCAGGGTCAGCCTTGGCTTGGTGCCGCCTTTTTCTCCCTGCCCGGGAGAGGGCCACTCTTGGCCCTTCTGTGCTCCCTCAGATGAGCCCCTCCTCCAGGAAAAACCGAATGAAAGAGAAAAGGCACCACTTGAGTAAGGACACCTGCTTTCTCCTGAAGAATTTACAGATGAGCAATTTGTATAAATCTATTCGCCCTCTGTCTGCAGGTGGTTTTGCTGGTGAGAGACCCCAGTCTCAGATGCAGCCTTTCCCAGTGAGAACAAGTTGGGCCTCAAAGAGCAGTTTAGTGGATGGGAAAATTACAGTTACTAACTCTGCCAAAAAAATGTGGGTTAGGCAGCATCACCACCAGATGGATTCATAGTAGGTTGACCAACTGCACTCAGGGTGTATTGCTTTATAATTTATTGGTAAGATCATACTTGGAATATTGCATCCAGTTCTGGTCGCCACAATGTAAAAAAGATGTTGAGACTCTAGAAAGAATGCAGAGAAGAGCAACAAGGATGATTAGGGGACTGGAGGCTAAAACATATAAAAAACAGAACGCTTGCTGGAATTGGGTATGTCTAGTTTGATGAAGAGAAGAATGAGGGGTGACATGATAGCAGTGCCCCAATATCTCAGGGGTTGCCACCAAAGAAGAGGGAGTCAAGCTATTCTCCAAAGCACCTGAGGCCAGGACAAGAAGCAATGGATGAAAACTAATCAAGGAGAGAAGCAACCTAGAATTAAGGAGAAATTTCCTGACAGACAGAACAATTAATCAGTGCAATGACTTGCCTCCAGAAGTTGTGGATGCTCTAACACTGTAGGTTTGTAAGAAGAGATTAGACAACCATTTGTTTGAAATGATATAGGGTTTCCTGCCTGAGAAGGGGGTTGGACTGGAAATCCCTTCCAATTCTGTAATTCTATTATTCTATTCTATTATTGTGCATTTAGAATGGTAATTTTCTGGTGCAAAAACCTTCAAAAGGAAAATAGGGAATGCTTTTCAAGGCCATGTGCTACCAGCCAGCTGAACGTACAACTCTTCCTGTGCTTTCTGATGGGGTCATTTGGGGTTTTTTTGAACTCTTCAGTCAGAGCAGTGTATTATTCTGCCAGCTTGTATGCTTGCTGGGTTGAAAGCCTTGGGTCAGCAGCCAGCTGGAGCCACAGGGAGCGTCCAAAGGACACTTCTCTGATGCTGCTTACAGCTGGGTTCAGGAAAGGCTCCGCTCAAGCCAGATCAGCTCTCAAATGGGAAAGATGCTTGGAGGGGGCCATTTGCTGCTTTCTGCTTTTTATAGCCCGCTGTGGTTTTCCCATGAGAAAAGAGAGTTGAACACTAATTAGACACATCTGGCCTTGTGGTACATTAGCTGCTTCTGGTTCACTCCGTTCCACAGCTTGTTCCCAGGTCAAAGGACACAGGCTCCAAAAATGCCGAAGTGCTATTGCAGATCTTTTCAGTGATTCTGGCAAGTTCTTTGTCTTCAAGAAGACAAGTTTAGAATAGCTTCTGGCCAACTGGGGGAAGCCCATTTGCTTGGGGCAGCTCCTCCTGCTGTACTGCTCTAGGTCCTAATGCCTGCCAGTGATTGGAGTGCATTTGGTTTGGTTAAGAATAGAAACCTGCATAAGTCAGGCTTGCAACCATTAGCTACTCTCTACTTAGATCAGATTCTAATGGCGACGGGGGGGGGGGGGAATAGATTAGATCCCTTTAGTTAATAAAGAAATGATTGGGGTAGTGTAATCTTTTGTGTGTGCTTTGATCTCTCAATTCTTTCACTCTCATCATTCTCTGGACTGTTTTCTTGGTTGGTGCAGTGGGATACAGGGCTATGACAGTTCCAGAAATTCAGCCAAAGAAATAGGGGTCCTGCTTGAAAAAGAACCAATCAAATAAGTGAATCCTGAATTTGAAAGGAGTCTCAAAGCTCATGGGAGCCCTGATGAAAGCCTGCCAGACAGAGGCTGTTAGCCTTGCCTGAGAAGCTCCTCTCCTCTCTGGGCCATTAGTTCCCTGCCAAAGCAAGTTTTTTCTAGGATTCATGCAGAATCGGCCTTCCTGTAAGTTAGGTGCTACTATTATCTCTCCATTCTGGAGTGAGAGCGAACAGTCCTGACCCTCTGACTTTTCAGATACTTCAACAATGTCATATTTAGTCCCCCTGGGTCATATTTCCTTCTCTTTAGAGGGCTTTCCATGCCCCGTGAGAGTTTTCATTGCCTTCCTCTGAGTCCTAATTTCTCCAAATCCACTACATGACTGGAAAATGACTCAAGATGGGGGATGATCAAAGCAAAGTGCAGGTAGTCCTCAAATTATGACTGGTCATTTAAGGACAGTTCAGAGTTGTGACAGGCCCCCTAAAAGAACTTACAACTTGGATGCGAAGGCCAGGCCCCCTTCCCATGGCCGCAAGATCGCATTTTGATGCTTGGCATCTGGCTCACAGTTATGGTGTTTTGTGGCATCCCACGGTCATGTGACCATGATTTACAATGGTTTTTGCTGGAAACTGGTTTTTGCTTCTGGCTTCCAGGCAACAGTGGGTTTGCTGAACAACCACAATGTTGGCTTTACAACTGCAGGATTGGGTCAGTAAGATGACTGACCTGATTTTGCACCCTTTTTGACTGTGCTCATTAAGCAAACACTGTGGCTGTTAAGCAAACCAGTTTTCACCAAAACCATCATAAAACGTGGCCACATGATGCGGGATGCTGCAAAGGGCCGTAAATGTGGCCTGGTTTCCGAGTGCCTAAAATTCAGCCAGGTGACCGTAAAGGGAACCCAACCATCAGAAATTCTTATCTGAGTGGCAAGCAGCCCTCCAGGAGATCCGCTGTAACCTTGAAGGGTTGCCAAGTGGCTGGTCTTAATCTAGACTCTTTGTACCTCCTTTTTTCTACATGTTCTTGGGGGAATGTCTATAAATAAGTTTTAAATTTCTCCTTCTTTAGCAACTCCCACCTATCTCAGCTTCTTTTCCTGTTATGAGGGGATCTCCCGATTGTTGTCATCTCGCTGGTTTTGAAGCCAAGAAACATATTCTGACTTTTGATTTCCTTTAAAATTAAAACAAAACCCTCCTGTGCTTAAATATTTTTTATTGGTTGGTATCTAGACAAGGGAGGAACCTCTTTGCCTTCCTCACTCTGGGAAGGAGAACATTTGCCAGGCAGACAAGTCAGCATCAAATCTCCTGAGGAGCTTCCACCACAGGAAAAGATGTGAGGTTAAAAAACAACCAAGATTATTTTTTTGGTGAGTTTTTAGTCCCTGAAAAACCTGCACTCTTAAACAGCAGATAGTTTGGAGATGCTGGGGAGGGTGACAGGTCCCAAATGTGCTCCAGACGGAGAGGCGGTGGGCCTGGGACTCGACCGACGGGGCCTGCCTGGAGCTGGGGGCCCTTCTGTGATGGAGCTGCCTGGGCAACACAGTCCCAAAGAGAAGGATTAGGGTGACATGATGGCTGTCTTCTAATACTTGAGGGGCTGTCACAAAGAGCCCTGTTCTCCAAAGAATCTGAAGGCAAGAGAAGAAGTAACAGGTTACAAAATTTCTTCTTAGTTAGATCTAGGTTGGTTCTCTCCTCCAAAGTGGCTTGTTAAAACATGTAACTAAAGGTCCGATAGTTGTCTGACTGCTGAGTCGCTTTGTCAGACTTCCCTTGCTCCAGAGAAGAGGCGTTCCAAGGCGAGTGCAGGAAAAGCAGGAGTGCCTGTGCCAGGGACTGGGGATTCAGCCCTCCCAGAAAGCCCTGCTGCCCTTCTGGTGGGCAGGAAGGAAGGAGGGCCTGGAAGCAGCGGATCCTTTCAGCACCAAGGAGAGCTGCAGGGGGAGAGCGTCTTCCAGCGAAGGGAGAGGCAAAGCCTTTGGGGATCCCTTCTGGGCACCACATTCCCCACATAGGATCAAGGTCCATTCTTCTTTGGAGGGGGGTCTGTTGAGCAGCAGGTGGTGGAGCAGAGAAGGGAGACGGCCCCTCGGCTGAGCTGAGAAGTTCA